CTTCTAATACCTCTATCAGGACTTCACACATAAGTATTACTCTTGATCTGTATATCTTGTTTTACAATGAAATGAATTCAAAATCTAGACACCTCACAAAAATTTCAGAATGAGCTCCTTTCCTTTTTGTTAGACAAAATAGATTTCTGCAGTGCTCATTTGGAAGGGTGGTCCTGCTCAGACCGGATTTATCCTTGTACCTCCACACAGAATCAAAGGACTTCCCATGTACTGATTTATTTGTTCATCCCCTAAATTAAATATCATGAAATGAAAACCATTCATAATACCACTACCCAAAGACGTTCACTGTTGGTCTTAGCTATTCACAGAAAGTCATCACCTATAACGTGTGTTATAAATAACTTATGCTTCTCAACTTCCTTTTTTTCAAAAAAGTATCCAAATCTTTATACTACTACACAAAGCAAGCCAAAGTTGGTTTCTAAGAACATTTTTTAAATTTCTGAAAATAGTGCTTTATACATTAAAGAATGTTGGACAGTTTTCTGCACTAGAGTTTTAGCGTTTCATTATTTATCATGCGTGAAGGGATTAGGAAATATGTTTTTCAGATTTAAATTAAATTCAAGGGCTATGGGGATAGCTGAACGAATAGGCTAGATATATTCTTTTCTACAAGCCTAAACACCCTCTTGGGTAAGTTTTCTGTTTTGAAAGTTACTCTGATTTCATTTAGTAGAGTGAAGGGTTCAGAGGTTTAAAGAGTTGTTATTTAAAAGAAGAACGAAACAATTTAAATGATTCTAAATCATTTAAATATATTAAATTAGATTTAATATATTTAAATCATATTTAATACATTTAAATCTAATGTATTAGATTGTACATTAAAGCACCCAATTTTCCAGTCCAATAAAAATAAGTATGAAAATGGGTGAATGCATCACAGATGTATACCCTAAAGTTTTGTTTAGGTCCTACCTAGGTGTATATATGTAGCACTTAAGTATATGCAAGATGGTCTATTTCAATATGACAATAATAATAAAGTTTAAAGGTACTGTTTATTCCCTTTTTGTTTCTCTTTATTCCATGTAAAGAGGCCTTGTTCTTTTCAGTAAAAGGGAGAACGTCACCATTACAAAAAGTGATTGCAGGGAAATGGTTGGAATCACCAAAAATCTTTGTCAGATGCTACCATATATTAGAAAATTGAATTTTATAGTGTTGACTTAATTCTCACCTGGAAGAGAAGACAGTCCTGTCTCTTTATCTCATGCTGACTTTGACTTCTTAACCTTCGGTTTATTTACTATGATTATAATTATTATCAAAATGTATCTTTCAGAATGAGTATAACTGTACCTTGAAAAAAACTTTAAGACAAGTTTATTTAAGCAATAGAGAGAAATACAATAAAGGTTTTGTGTTTATGATATGAAAGTATAGCAATTAGATTTTAAGGATATCCCTCCCCTGAATGGCCCATATTTTCCTGATGTCTTTACACAACAACATAGAAAGGGCGCAAACACCTTTTTAAAATTCCACATTCTCATTAATTTCATTCATTCAACAGATTTTTATTAACCATCTTCCATGTGCAACACATTCTTCTAGGTCCTGGGGAGTCACAAGAGATGAGAGGAAATATTTGTCCTCATGGAGTTCATATTTCAGAGAGTGTGTTTGAGAAAGTTGCTGCAATATAAATTCAATTTAATTTCTTTATTTTATTTATTTATTTTGAGATGGAGTTTCACTCTTGTTGCCCAGGCTGGAGTGCAATGGCATGATCTTGGCTCACTGCAACCTCCGCCTCCTGGGTTAAAGTGATTCTCCTGCCTCAGCCTCCTGAGTAGCTGGGATTAGGCACCCATGACAACACCCAGCTAATTTTTGTATTTTTAGTAGAGACAGAGTTTCACCATATTGGCCAGGCTGGTCTCGAACTCCTGACCTCAGGTGATCCACCCACCTTGACCTCCCAATGTGCTGGGATTACAGGTGTGAGCCACCGTACCTGACCTAATTTAATTTAATAAACATTTATTGACTGACTTATACAGAATTTTCCTATTTCCTATGAATATGAATACTTGAAGAAGATAAAATACATGGTAGTATGTCATCTTTCTATAACATCCCTTAAACTAGTTGCCTCCTCATCTGTGTTTCTATACTTCATGTGTGCCTGTATCATAGCAAAGATCACACTGCATTATACTTTTGTGTATGCCTGTTTGTCTTATCCTCAGTGGTCTGTGTGAGGCTCAGGACCCTGTACTATTTATGTCTTATCCTCCTGAAGAGCTCAGTACTTGCCCAAGTGAATGATTGGACTTGAAGAGGATTGAGTATGTAGCTTCTGCCCTCAGAAAATCTTCAGTGAAGAAGGGAAAAAAATAGATAAACAGCCTATTCCTGAAGAGAACCCTATAAGAGACAAGCAATCTTTTATGTAAATGTTCATATTAAGGGAATCTTGATAGAGCAACAGTTTAAAAGAGGATTGATTTAATATAATAAGTACAGAATGTTGTTTATCAACTATGTAGAACAAAAAAAGATAAATTCTCCTGGTATTTAAATAAAACTTGAGGGAATTACAATGTTTGTATATTACAGCTACACAGTCTTATATAAATTAAAGTAAACAAGCCCAGGTGGGAAATAATTACTACATCCGCAGGTAGACAGACATTTACCAAATCTTAGGGGGGAAAAAAAAATTTAGAATCTTCTCCCTAATCTGAGTTTCCATATGTTTGAATGTTTGGTGAAAAATAGTCAAAGCATCAAATTGGAGTATCAGCAGGGAAACAGGGGTCAGACACTCTCCCTGAAAGAATTGCCCTTCAGTATCGGATTCCTATTTATCATGTCCTCATTCCTTTCCCCAGTGCCCATGAATCAGTGTTCCTATACTTTGCCTCAAACAGGCAACATCTTCTAGTTGTTGTTTAACAAAGTTCACCTATATACATGATCTAAATGATGCCATCTCTTTAGATTCACCAGTTTAGGCATAAACCATCTCATGGGGAAGTATGTGAGAGTAGGTACCTGCAAATTTTGCATTGCCTATAACATGTAATAGATTTTTGACATACTCTATTTCTGGGTCTCTTTTCTTGAATGAGTCAGAAAGTGGGTGAGCAAGTGAGTAAGGAATAGAAATTAGATGCACAGAATTCTTCAATTTCAATGAGAATATTTGTTTACTGAATGCCACTTCGTAGATGATCATGGCCTACGACTCAGAAGAATTTCATGGCTACTGAAAAACTGCTCTTCTTGTGGTCAGAAATGCCGCCATTGTCTCACAAGTAAAATAAGAATTTTAAATGAGAAAGGAATAGAATATACTTGGGATACTCAAGAACAGCAAGAAGAAGGCGAAGATTGTGTCCTTACTTTTCTTGGCATAGCCGTTTAACATCTTCTCTACCTTATCCCACCCCACCCTTACTCCCAGAAAGACACTTTTGAGGAACACATGGAAACTGTTAATGTTTTTTGAATAAAAATATGCTTAGTGCATAGAATGCCTGCAGGACCTTTCACAGAAATTGACCATTCCTAGATTCAAATAAGAGGCTGAATAGATTTAAGGGTGTTTTGTGAATTGTCATGTTAGCTGCAGAACACAGCACTTTCAACATAGAGTGAGACTTTTCTTCAGGAGAAGAGCTAGGGAAGCCACTGTACGTTTTAAATATTTTTGTTTTTAACATATATGGTTTATATGGTTTTGAGTCATTGTAGAAACAGCCTGTGATCAGGCCCCAAATTATTATCACTGTTCATATTGCCATAGGGACATAACAAGGTAACTTATCTCAAAAAAGCCGAGTCTGCAGGGCTTAATTATTTGCTTGTCTCAGAAAGCTCTGTAATTTACCTCTTGAGGTTTTGACCTGTAATGGTCACCTTCTTCTTATGGTACTTAAGGTGTCCATCTGCTTGGCCATCCTAATGCTGTTGATTTGACTGTCAATGAAAACATTTGTTTACATTCCTTAACTGAAAAGAATCTTCTCACCGCACTGTGGCACAGGTAACAGCGACTGATAGGAAAGTGCCACTGCATATTTTTTCCCTGAAGATTAGGTAATGAGCAGTTGTGACCATGACTCCAGCCTGACCCAGCTCGAATGACATCTTATTTTAAAAACAGTAAGAACCATAAAACTCTTCGGAAGGCATCTTGGTTTCCACTCTAAATGATGGCAGTTGTAGAACAATTAAAATCTATGACTTTTTACATTGCAAAGAAGATGTTTCTGTTTGCTACTTTTGGCATTCTTTTTCCTTATAGCAGGACAAAATCAAGTTATTTATATATATATAATCTTGACATATATGTGGATCAAAATCAGATTTTATATATATATATATAATCTTTACATATATATGGAGCTTTCTGTGCATAGAGTTTAAACTTTGACTCAATAGTATACACCCATATGTTACGGTCGCCTTTCAAAAAATCAGTCTAAAAATATTATCTCAAAAGAAATGTAAAATTAAAACAAAAATTGATTCCAAAGCTTTTCAGGCTACAAGTCATTTTGATGAATGCCTTCAGCCCTGTACTACTGCCAACTGTGTCAATAACAAGTGAAACTATCTCAGACACTATTCCTAAACATTTTTGTAGATATGGGGGAAAAGTTTTAAGATATTTATACATCTTTACTTTAAATATTGCAATTGTTAGAAATTCCTAGTTACCAAATGTGAAATATCAATTTAATTAAAGATAGTTTTCATCAATGGGTTTTGATCAGGATAAAGTCTCTTAGAATGTTTAATGTGTTTAGCTGGGTTACAAACTGGTTAGTTTGTTTCCTCACTGGTATGTATTTCCTATCCTTAGAAAGTTGTAAATCTGAGTGAGTCTCTTAAAGAAATGAAATAAAAGTCTCTCTAGAAAGTAAGAGGCATGCTTTGTAAGACACAGAATCACTAAATTTCATTCCACTGCTGGTTTTCAACTGGAATACACTTTCAACTGTTGTCTTTTAATGTAGACCTTTAATGCCTGAGGAATGCAGAGCCACGGTACAACCTGCACAGACACTGACTTCAGAGTGCTCCAGGCTCTGTCGAAACGGCTACTGCACCCCCACGGGAAAGTGCTGCTGCAGTCCAGGCTGGGAGGGGGACTTCTGCAGAATTGGTTAGTATTTTTGTTTTCACCTGAAAAGGACTGGGGATGAGTCAATCCTTAGGTACTCAAGAACTCAACACCGATTGTTTCTTCTACAATAATATAGTGTTCAAAAGTGTTTAGCTATTTACAATACTATTAATGCTCATCTGTTTCTGAACTTGTAAGTAAAATCTTGCTCATTTTCTTAATGTAAACAATTCACTTATGTAAGTTAATTATAAATATGCAAAACCTTTAAATGACTGAGTCCTTTCAAAAAGTAAAAAATGCAAATAGCACAACTAGATAATCTCTGTGGGCCTCTCAATCCTGGGTTCTGAGATTTCACACTAGCCAATGACTTAGTGTTTGCCAAACCCCTCTCCAAGCACTAGCATTTTCCAGACACCCCGTAAATGCCCTCCCTGCCTTTACTGCTTGCTTTCCTACCACAGCAGACTAAAAACAGGGCTTTTCAGTGGGTGTTATTAAATAAAAGGGGAAAATGCAATTATCTGGAGACATATTATGAGATTTTTTCATGCTTTTTGCCGCTCCCCTGTGAACCATCAACTAGGTGTGCATCTGCTCAGAGAGAGCAAAGGAGATTTATTCCAGGGTTGTTCTAGCCTGTAACTTGATAGTTCCTCAATTATGTGCAGTGATGTTTAAGTTCTACTTGGTGTAAAGTCAGAAAATTAGATAAATTTAGAAACCTAGAGTTTAAAATGTGTATGTTGAAAATGCATAATTAACAATCAGCATATACCATCACTTAGAAAAGATTTTGATCTCGGTTATTTCAAATATTAAAATACTTATTGCCAATGAAAATTAAAATATCAGATTAACATTTAATGTTATTTATTCATAAATGCTATCTTTTTGTTTGTCCTCAAGATGTATTTCAAAGAATTATAACTATAACTTGTCTATTTTTATATTGCCCAACAAAAATAACCAACATTTAAAACCAAACATAGAGGATACATTTTAAACTTAAATTGCTTCAGCATTAATAACATTATGTGTTTGATTAATACTATGGTTATGTATCTAGGAAGGAATTATCAAAATTAAAACTCAACAGAAATGAAGTAATCACATTATTTAAAACAAATGCTCACATGTTATTGACCCATCCTCTCTACCTTTTTGTTAGTTGACCCAAAATATGAGAATCAGTATTCAAATGTAATGATATTCAAATTCCTGCTAATATATTGTCTTTCTGCTTTCTTTGCTGCCTGACAATATCTACTTTCTCTGCTTTTTTTTTTTTTTTTTTGAGATGGAGTCTCTTTCTGTCGCTAAGGCTGGAGTGCAGTGAGGCAATCTCAGCTCACCGCAACCTCCGCCTCCTGAGTTCAAGTGATTCTCCCACCTCAGCTTCCTGAGTAGTTTGGATTATAGGTGCCCACCACCATGCCCTGCTAATTTTTGTATTTGTAGTGGAGATGGGTTTTCACCATGTTGGCCAGGCTGGTCTTGAACTCTCAACCTCATGTGATCTGCCACCTTGGCCTCTCAGAGTGCTGGATTACAGGCGTAAGCCACCATGCCCAGCCTCTCTGCATCTTTTAGTAACAGAATATAACATACAGTGTCCATTCTGTTATATTCCCTGCTTTGCATTTTGCCTAATCTCTTACGTTACCTGAAGCCTGCTAGTAACAGCGTGTTTAAATGAGGGTGAATGAATTATCTTGAATACAGTTGGCATTGTACAAAGCTTAATAGATACTAATAATAAATTGTGATATAAATGAAAATAGACATACATCGAGTTAACATAAAGTTTTACTCCATGAGGTACTTTCATTTTTACACTGAATCAATTTAAATAGTTTGAATATATAACGTTCACCAAAACCATTCTATAAAAGTAATCTGTTTATTTGGGATGTTTTGGACCCAATCAAGAATTTTATTCACGTACTCACATTGTTTACTCATCTCCCACAGATTTAAAACATAAAATTGTTTATTTTCTGCTTATTTTTTCTTTTCCATGTGTCAAAAACAGACCCCTGGAATTTGATTAATGTATTTGAAAGGCTAAAATAACCCTGTCTTGTCAAAACATAGGGAAATGTATTGAAGGAATTTGACTCCATCCACAGTGACTGTACTCCCCAGATTTAATCAGAAAATGGCAATTTATATATCCAATTTTATGTCTCATTTTAGCAGTATATCTTTATATTCCCCATTTATATTGTAGTGGCAAAAATTCTTTCATGAAGAAATTCTGTGCTGTAGGGTAACCCTGAAAAGGTTGGCTCAGAACATCCTTTGTTGGCCAATTGCACTGACTCCAGAAGGGGACTTCAAAATGTCATCAGAGAGCAAAGCATATGCTGTCTGCCCCCTGGAAGCAAGAGGAAGGAAGAATCCAAAGGAGTTTATATGGTGGATATTCCACCTAACCAAAATCCAAAACTGACTGTTCCTTTATGTTACATTGGAGATGCTTGAGCCTCTCTGTCTCCCCCTCAGGCTGGGTCACTCCCATGTTGAGATCCTACCTTGAAGGAATGGGAACAGAGTTTGCAAGGCCCTCTGTAGAGAATGCTCCTGTGGAGCAGAGATTTTGAAGGACTAAAATCTCCATTTTAAATAGAGTTAATTTTGCAAAGGGTTGCAACTGTTTCTCATGATCTCTGCTTCTCTAGAAATGTCTCTCGTTCTCTGCCGAGTTCAGGCCTCCAAATAACTATGGGTGTAAAAGCGCGTTTCCTACTTGTATATTTATCTTTCAGATCATTTTGTAACTATCTCCCTCCTTTTTTCCCTCGCTCCCCTTATTCAGCAATATTTGTAGGTCTCATGCTCAGCCCTGTTTCTGACATACAGAATGAGAGTGTGATGTTCTTGCTCTTTTTCTCTCCCAGCAAAATGTGAGCCAGCATGCCGTCATGGAGGTGTCTGTGTTAGACCGAACAAGTGCCTCTGCAAAAAAGGATATCTTGGTCCTCAGTGTGAACAAGTGGACAGAAACATCCGCAGAGTGACCAGGGCAGGTATTCTTGATCAGATCATTGACATGACATCTTACTTGCTGGATCTAACAAGTTACATTGTATAGTTTCTGGGACTGTTTGCATATTCCCTTCCAATGGGCATTTATTTTTTAGCCTGTCATTAAAAAAAAAAAAAAAAATGACTGTTATCCTGCTACACACTCCTGTGATTTCATTCTCTTTTATTAATTTAAAAATGATTTCCAGAAATGTGCAGATCCTCTGTGTGTATGTCAGCATGTTTGTTCACATATGCACATACACATACTCATAATCCCTATATGCGTTGTTGCTTAACAGATGATTTTTAAAAATATATACTTCCTTGGGCAGAGTAATTTACACAGAAATTCCACTGTAAATTGATAATGGATTTTTTATGTCACTAGAAGAGATTATTTGACTTCCCAGGAATTTTCTGTCAGTAATCACTAAACTCAACTTTAATAGAGTTTTGAAACATTACTGTGCAATCTGATGGATCTAATAAAAAAGGTAATATTTTTATATTAAAGTACTGTACTAGGAGAGAATGTTTCAGAACTCCCTGATGAATTTCTAAGTGAGCAACTTGATATAAAATTGTAATTTTCATTTTTGTCAGTGTATCCAATTACAGAATGTTACACTTACCTTTTTATTGGCTGAGAAATCTGATTACTTCGTCTTAATCTCAAGATCGTTTTCAAATGTTGTATAATTAAATCATAACGGCATATTTTAAAATCAGTCTTCCTAAAAAGTCTGCTTTCATTGTATATTTTATTTAACAATAGGCACTGGGTTTGTGTTACATATTTATATATTTTATTTTATTTTTATAATATAGACATCACCTAGATGAAACACCTTTACCCTGTCCTGTAAAACACTAAAGTTACATTTTTCACCAACTTAATTGGAAAGAAGGGGAGTGAGAAAGCAAACAGTCTTTAATGTGCTGTGGATCTAATCTAGCAAGGTATCCTTGTGCCAACATGTAATCATTAACGACGGAAGAAAAAGCAAGAAAACAGCCAATTCTTATAAAATTCCAGCATTAAACATTTGTAAAGTGTTTTTCACCATAGCAAGACTGTCAGAGTCCATGTTATTAGAATGTTGCAGATTTCCACTGAATCGAACCTCACTGGAGAAGAGCTCACTTGTTTTTTTAAAAATCTTGGCTATGTAAGCTGTTACCTGTACAAATTTTTAACATAATAATTCTTGCCAAATACGACTTTAAATGTACGTGTTCCTTCAGAACTCAATGAAAATATTCTTTGGTTAATGTATCAATAAATTTTCTGTAAATGTTCTGTTCAGGGTTTTAAAGAGATGACATGTTCTGACTTAAAACTGCAAAAAGTCTAGTAGATATTTTTCTTCATGGTTTTCAAAGCCAGCTCTCCACGTTTGGATTTTAACAAAATATAAGGCCTCTTTGCACTACTGAAAAAACACATCTACTCATGACAAGTGCATACCCACTATGGGTGTCCTTCTTCTGTAAACATCCATTCCTCTAGAATCTAAATTGTAGAGCAGTATAGATTATGCAGCGCCGGCTGACTTTCTAAACCTGCTCCTTACCTTTAGGAATACAGGCCTCAATTTAAAAAATACATTGTAGCTAGTATTTCTCTACTGTTTTAAGGTGAGAGATTTGCAATTAAAGCCCAGTAAGCATTTATATAGAAGCCACAATGTAGAAAGATTGGTTAAGTACACTGCTCTTGTCTTCCATATATGATTACTTAAGTTTCAAGTGACCTCATGCCAAATGGAAATGGGTTGAGAAATCTTGGTTCAGTGCTTAGTGAACAATAGCCTGCATTAAAAAGTGCATGCATAATTTTGCACAATTTAGATTCAATTGACAGTCTATTCAAAGAAGTCTCAGGATTAAATGAGCATGGAGACCAAATTGCCCTCTTACCCCAGAAAAGGGGTGGTCCCTTCTAGTCACACTAACACTTCATTGGCCCAACAGTGTGACAAATCTTGCAATGAACCATGCAGTAGCCTGCATCTGTAGGTTAATAGCAATCTTTTGTCTCCATTGCTTTCTCTTCATAGCCCTTTTACTGAATTCCATCACAGAAAGTTTTACAATTAAAAAAAAAATGTCCTGACAACCATTTTTGTAAATGGACCTTACCATCTAATCGTCCCTTATTCAACGTGGGTGACATTAACAAAATGTGAACTTCTTGTGAGGGAGCCAGCTGTCTAAATCTGTCAAATCGTGCAGTTTTATTACACATTCTCCAATTCTTCCTAGCTTCCCTGAAAACAATAAGGATACTGCTATATATTCAGTAAAATCTAAAAAAATCAAGCATTTCTTCTTACATCTTTAAACTTTCCGTCTCCTCCCCAAAATAAAAGGTGTTCTATTGCCATTAGTTCTACTGTTTTAAAATATCTATATTAAGTTGACCAGGCCCAGATTTTTTATACAGCTTTTTCCCAAGTGAAAGATTTTCAAGTGACTTAGAAAAACATATGTGCCCCAGGTGTCACTGCCTTTCCTTTTGTGAGTCGTTAGAATAAAAGACCAAATTCTTCTCAAGAGAAGATAGCAAGATCCACGGATATTAAACCAAGCAAAGAAAGTAAAGTCATTGGAGTCATTTCTTTCTGTTCTTAGGAGAAAAGTAGATAGCACTGGCTAATTGATGGCAACATATTTTAAATTAAGTGGTCAATTCAAAAAATCTCTTTGACCTTTTCTTTCAAGTAGATTTTTTAAATGCATGACTGGAGAATTATCTTCAATGATTCATGATGAGAGGCAGGTAGGAATTGGTTAAGAAGTAATAGCTAGGAAAAAAATATTGTTTAATCACAAGAAAGGCAACATCTGCTCAGTTCATAAAGCACACAATCTCAAATGGAAGAAATAAAGGTTCTTCGTAAGAATACTGATGCATAAGATAAAGACAAAATAATGCAAAAGAAAAATGTATATTATTATTCCCTTGTCCATTCTCAAGTTTAAGCTGTGGTTGTCAGTTGAATGTGAAATGACATTATAGTTGTTTTAAATGGTTGGAAATAACCTTTCTACTACTGTTTCTGCCACACTGTTGTCCTGGTTCATAAAACCTTGTTTTCTTGACAGTTATTTAGGTAATAAAAGGAACACCAATTGGCAGATCTTTAAGTTAAAAGGAGAAAAGATTTAAGAAATTGAGTGATGGCTAAAAGTGCTTCCATCCATAACTTTTTTTCTTGGATTTTTTTTCAATGTAATTATTGTAAAACATATTTTTTATTTTATCACAAAGAATACTCGGAAGTTTTCTCAGGTTGATGAGTATCTCATAAAGAGTAGAGAAACCAACACATACAATATATACACACAACCTAAATAGAAAACTGTTCTCTTTGTTATTTGCATGCCCCAGCGCAGTTACTTCTTCCCTATTTAGTTCTTTGAAAATAATTACAAAATAGTATACTAACAATTTTAATCCATTTGCTGTTTTTTGTTTTGTTTCATTTTGCTTTTGTTTGTTTGTTTTTGTTTTTGTTTTTGAGACGGAGTCTTGCTCTGTCACCCAGGCTGCAGTGCAGTGGCACGATCTCGGCTCACTGCAACCTCCGCTTCCTGGATTCAAGCAATTCTCCTGCCTCAGCCTCCCGAGTAGCTGGGATTACAGGCACCCGCCAGTATACCCAGCTAATTTTTTGTGTGTTTTTCGTAGAGACAGGGTTTCACCATGTTGGCCAGGCTGATTTCAAACTCCAGACTTCAAGTGATCCAGCTACCCAGGCCTCCTGAAGTGCCAGGATTACAGGCGTGAGCCACCATGCCCAGCCTCCATTTGCTTTTGATATTGTTTTTATCTCTGAGTTATAAACTATATAAGCTTTACCAGGTGTAAGGTGTGAGGTTAGATGCTACATCTAGGAGCGTTCAAGATATACATTAATGTAAACTTTTATTAATCCAACTTTCCACTAAAACTCTTAGCTTTGAAACATAAAAGACAAATCAAGCCCAGATTTTTAGAGGAAAGCTAAGGTATACCATTGGCAGTTGTAGTTTTAATTGTAGTTGACTGATTAACCAATTAGTTTATAAAATGTTACCTATAATGTCTATGTTCTCTTCCTCTCCCTCCCTCCTTCTCTCTCTCTCTCTCGCTCTCTTGGCTAATATATATGTGCATGTGTGTGTGTGTATATACATGTATATATATACACATACATATATATACATATACACACATACATATATATATTCTTTTTCCTTTTAGCCACTTCCCTCTCCTACATTTTCTATCGGTTTTGCCTAAATAGACGTGTTCTCAATATAACCATGTTGAAGGTATCCTGGGCTAGACTGCTATTGATTTTGTTGGTTATGATCTTTTCTTTGTTTTTCTGAAAAATAGCCTCTCCTGGTTCCACATTTTCTCAAATTCTATGTAACAAAGAAGTGGATAGTAAACAAATGACATGCTAGGCTGATCTATTACAATCATTGAAAGAAATAAGGAAGAGCAGAAATCTCTACCAGTCCAGATGCTCCCATTCAGCTGCTCTAGCATAGATACAGGAAAGACATGGAGAATAACACTGGGGTTAGCTAACAGCAGGGAAAGTTAGCAGCTATTTCCTAGCCAAGGAACAACCTTCTCTATGGAATAATTTTAAGAAAATTATTCCAAATCTGTGAGAAAAAAAATAAGAAGCCGTTCCTCAATGGAGACTTTAAAAATCTTAATTTCCCTACCCCTGAGATTTGAAGTTGCAGAGGACTCAGACCGAAGTCCCATGGCAGAAAATGTACATATTTTTAAACTACTCCCAAGAAGTAAACTATTACTGTGAATGCTGGCAATACCATCAGAAAGTTTATCTTTACAATACCTAAAAATAAATATATGTTTGCTATCTTATCCTTTTTTTGTCACACCACCATAAACTGGTCATACATATATAACCAAATTCATTTTTTTATATATATATATATGTGTGTATATATAATATGTAAACAAATGACATACTAGGCTGATCTATTACAATCATTGAAAGAAATAAGGAAGAGCAGAAATCTCTACCAGTCCAGATACACACATATATATATGTGTGTGTATATATATATATATAAAACCATGGAACCTGCCAAACACTAATCCTAGCCAACTTCAATCCTTCTTTCTCTTAACTATCTTCTCTGAATAAGTTCTGGACATCACCTTAAAATAAGTTTTTAGGAGAGTAATATATATTCATGGGATTGTGAGGGAGCATTGTACAGCTGTTTTCTTCTCGGTCACTGTGGTGATTTTCCTAGATGCTATGGAAAGGTTTGTTCACTTATAAGATTAGGACTTTTCTTAAATTCTTAAATTCCTCATTAAATATGAACCTAAGGTATACCCGTCATTTACCTTGATTCCCATATAATTTGTATAGGTCATATATAAGTCAATTAACAAAATAAAAAATAAATAATTGGATTCCTTCTATCAATACAAAGACTTGTGCTTAAAACCTGTTATTCTTTTTTAAGCCAGACTAAACAGTAACATAAAAAAATGGTATCAGCCTAACATTAAATCTAAGGTTACTTCTCACATACATCATAAAGTCAGCCATCATCTTTCATGTAGGATTTCTTGGGGTTTTCTTTTTGCATATATAGATCATGTGTTACTTAAATCCAAAATACATGTGTGTATATATATATACATATATATGTAACTTAATATAAATGTATGATGAGTTATCTCAATTGACTATAATCTTCTAAGTCAAAAAGAAAACATTTCAGTACATAATATAAAAAGAACTGAACATTAACAGTAATGGGAAATTCATAATGACTAAATATGAAATAAGCTTTGTCTTTGCAGTTACAAACTAATTCTTGTACATTTTCCCTCTCACTAAAAAAAATAACTAATTGATAGTTGCCATTCACATGAACAAGGTATGATCAGGTTTGGGATCGTACACCCAAAACCTATGTTTCTTTACCTTATATTCTTAAAACTTGAGACATGATTTTTCTAGAATAAATTAAGATTTCATGTACAATAGAGTCCTTTTCCTAATACTGTTATGGAGAAACCAAGTTGACTACCTTATGAGAGATCAGATATTTCCCTTATCTCATTATATTCACAGCATATGTTTGGACATGCATTTCACCAAGAACCATGTAGTAATAAGATAAATGGTAACTGAGGCACTGTGAAATTTTTAGAACTTGATTCCCCAGGACATGGTATAGCAAACTAAACTATTTATTCGAAAGTAACCCAACTAATTAAAGTGAAAAAAATTATTGAATCACAATGAACAAACATAAAACAACACTTAAATGAGAATTCTGCGTCTTTTTTGGTTTTATGTGTGATTTATTTTGTCCTGTATTAAGGAAAGGTTATCCTTATCATTCTTCTAATATGTTTTGGTTTCTCTAATAGTTCATTTTCCTTTAGGTTGTTGAAAATTAGGGCAGTTTGTCCGGAACCTTACTCACAGGAGACACCAGGACCAACCCATGCCTAGATTTCTGTTAATAAAAGGGAGAAAGGTATTTGAACAGGTAGTAAAGGCGGTACAAGTTTAAGGGAGCAGGGTTAACATATGTACTAGGTGAGATTTCTATAAATGTCTGAAAAGTTACATGCATAGCCATTGGCTCAGGTAATTTCTCTGAATTTGAACTTATTTGATTTATTTAACCAAGTTATTATAATATGCAGTTCTCTTTAATCAATCTTCTATTATTCAATCATCTATCCATTTGTTAATTCAACAAATATTTATTAAAGTGCCTACCATGATTATGTGCTGTAGAAAAGACAAGGACATTTACTAAGGGGGATTGTGGGCCCAATGGGCATCATGAGCATGTTTGAAGCAAAAGACAATAATCACATCCAACGGCACCAGTTCAGCTCAACTTTAGAATTCAGCAGTAATAGTACAGATGGCCTAAAGTACATCTGTGTGTATCTGTACATGTGCACACACCCATGTATATATATTTATCTATCTGTACAAACACTACATATGTATACACACTATCTATGTAAAATATAATATATGTATAATGCATATAAATTCTAACAAGTGTATTTGTGTTATCTTTAAAATAGAACAATTGTATCTTGAAGTGGTAAATGCAGAGAATTGGTTTTATTGTTGATCTGTGGATTTAATGATTTTTAGGTGAAAAGGATGTTTAAGTGTACAATTTCTTTTCTTAATTTAATATATTTATGTAAATGCATGCCTGAAATTTGGTTAGATTGACTGTGTTTTGTGTCTTTTAACGTGATCAAATGATTAAACTTTATCTTATGACTTGATGTACATGTGCTATTTTAAAATTCTTTTTTATTTTAGAATTTAAAACTTTTTTCTAAATATACAGACTGATTACATAAACACCAATTTTTAAATACTCTATAGACAAACTACTTCAAAATATTCTCATCTTTTGTCATTTTTCACGTTCTAATTTTAAAATTTTCTTCCAAAATATATGCCAATGTCAAGGGTCAGTTTCATTAGGCAGCCATGAAGATGTTACCTTGATAAATTTGTTCTAGGTTCTAAGTCCCTTAAACCTCATCTTTTCAAGTAAGTAAGAATAAGTAACGAATGTAGAAGAGCAGTTAGGAACCCTGGGTGCCCAAATGGAAGGGAAGAAGCATATGGAGGGGGAGGGACATGAACGAAGGTGATTGCAGGTAGCCTAAAACTTTGCTTACCTCGCTATTGCTTCCAGTTAACCCTACCAGGAGTATTTTGACCCGTTACTTTGAGCACAAATTTAAAATCTGCGAATTTTTTTTTTTTAGAAAAGCAAAATGTGTTCATCTAAGTCCCCTTTCTTCCTGGATAAATGCATCTCTTTGACTCGTTGAAATGAAAAACTCTCTCTCTGCAAGACATTATTTCTAAGAGAATAAAATGTGTTCTAAAGTGTTTATTCAGTAAGTGTTCCTCAGCTCAGATTGCTCTTTAGAAGTTTTAAGTTAGACAAAATATCACCATGAAAAGAGCCCTCTAGCTCATGTTCACAGCAGCCCAGGAAACACCACAATTCTTTGTTTTTCTACCTTTCTGACTCCTAGAATGCGTCCTTGTGGCTCAGCCCATGATCACCCTTTTGTTTCTTGTGTGTCTACTATTTTTTTGAATCCCTAATAGACCTATACCATTTCCTACATATGTGAAGAAAATAATAGTACATATATCCACTCTAGTGATGGAAGTGATTTCTTGCTCATCTCTCTGGGTTCCTTCACTCTCTCTTTTTTGGCTTCTCAGATCTGCCATCACCAGCATAATTCCCGCTTTAAATTCCCGCTGTGGTAAACACTTAAAGTGGCCTCCATTTCCCGTTTTTAGACGCTGATTGCCACAATCTTTTTTTTAAATTTTTTAATTTTTTTTTTTTTTTTTTTTTTGAGACAGAGTTTTGCTCTTTTTTTTTTCTTTCTTTTTTCTTTCCAAGTCTTGCTCTGTTGCCAGGTGGGAGTGCAGTGGCACTATCTCAGCTCACTGCAACCTCTGCCTCCTGGGTTCAAGCGATTCTCCTGCCTCAGCCTCCCAAGTAACTGGGAGTACAGATGCCCACCACCACACCCAGGTAATTTTTGTATTTTTAGTAGAGACGCGGTTTCCCCATGTTGGCCAGGATGGTCTCGATCTCTTGACCTCATGACCCGCCCGCCTCGGCCTCCCAAGTTTCTGGGATTACTGGCGTGAGCCACCACACCCAGTCAGAGTTTCACTCTTGTTGTGCAGGCCGGAGTGCAATGGCTCAATCTAGGCTCACTGCAACCTCCAACTCCTGGGTTCTGACTCAGCTTCCCAAGTAGATGAGATTACAGGCACCCACCACCACGCCTGGCTAAGTTTTGTATTTTTAGTACAGTCAGGGTTTCACCATGTTGGCCAGGATGTTCTTGAACTCCTGACCTCAGGTGATCCACCAGCCTTGGCCTCCCAAAGTGCAGGGGTTACAGGCGTGAACCACCATGCCCAGCTGATAGAAGTATTAATAAGAATGAGAGACCAGTGAGAAGAGAGATGATGTGGTGGAACTAAAAAGGGACATGATGACATCTTTAAGAGGGACATGATGAGATCTTTAAAAGGGCACATTAAGAAACCATTATCTTGGATCCCATGTGATCACAATGTTAGAGGGATCCTACTTCCAAACTTGGAATGTAAACCTTAAATTCCTAAGGCAGTGGAGAAGTGGAACCTTCACAGTTGTCACTAAAAGACTTCACAGCTCACACTGGTACTATCACAATTCTCAGCTGCCAAGTTCCCCAGGATTTTGACAGTTAATGTGACAGATATGTCTATAAAATCTCTCCTTTACACTCACTTGTTTAATAGAAAAGCTGAAACTAGTGTTCTATTTCCAGTGGAAATGCAATTTAAAATACCAGCCACACTTAATATCTCTTCAGTAAAAAATAGTTTTTTCTATTGGGAGTTCTAAAGAGGACCCTCTGAAGATTAAATCCTATTATCATTCAAAGAAATGAGAGGATAAAAGAAAGGAAAACAATTTGGATAAAATATTTCTTCTACATTTTTATAATTTTCATGCAGTATTTTCTATGATTAAAATAAACAAACACTTTAAAAGGGAAAAGGAGGCGGGAGGGAGAGGGAGGTAGAAGGCTGGGTAGCTCCCAACTATAAAACTCAGTCTTCTTGGGACTATGCCAGCATCAGAAACTACTTGAGCTCAGTCTTGTAATTTAATAAGATGTTGTCAGATCCTTTTGACATATTTATAGCCTTATAATTAAAACTCCTTGATGCAAAATCCATGTGCTTCATGTAAAGCAATTTCACTTATCGTAGACACTCTGTTCTATGATCTACAGCTACCAAAAGCAACACATGCCAGGTGTACTGGCAAGAGGCAAGAGCTCTGGCCTAGGGCTGGGAGATGTGGATCCTGTACCCAAGTCTCCAACTAATTGGCTGGAAGCTACTGGTTATATCTCTCACCGCACTGGGACTCAGCTTCCTTATATATAAAAGAACTCAGGTTCTCTCAGCTCTAACAAACAGGTATTACTATTAGGTAGTACTAATTTCATGATCTATGTGGATGGCAGATTTGAAACTGCAACTCTTACATAGGAATATATTAACTACTGCATTTCACGAATTTGTAGTGGTTACATAATCATAAAAGACACTCTCACTCATTTTCCTCTAATCTCCCAGCCTCCTCTTTGCCCTGGCTCTCCCACTCTTCTGTGGTTCTGGTGTGGCCTCCTCTTAGGTGTTCTCTGAATCTCTTTTTTCTGTTTCTTCCACCTGGTAGGTTCACTCTTGAACCCATTCATGTCTCCCACAGCTCTCACTCAAAATTTTTAAGACATTATCTGATCCATGTCCATCATTTCCTTTATGCTGAAGAAGTACATGTTACAGGGAAGCTGCTACTCTCTTCAGGGTCCTTAATGCTTGGTTTTGCAACTGTCACAAACATCATTATTGCCTCTTCCATGAATTATGTCCCCAAGAGAACTGCTGTAGGCACCCTACCTGACAGCATATTCTGGGCATGTAGAAGGGCAGAAACGCTCTGTTGATATCATCGAGAAGGCAGTCAATTCAAGACACAGAAGAAAGCATAACCAAGAATATTAGTCTTCTCAGGCTGCCATAACAAAATATCACACACTGGAAGGCTTAACAGAAATTTATTGCCTGGCAGTCCTGGAAGCAGAAAGTATAACATCAAAGTGTTGGCAGGCCTGGTTCCTTCTGAGGGATGTGAGGAAAGAATCTGTGCCAGGCCATCTTCTCCCTGTGTCTTTTCACATCACCTTCCCTCTACATGTGTCTCTGTGCCCACATTTCCCTTTTTATAAGGACATCAATCATACTGGATTCAGGCCTAAACTAATGATTTAACTTGATTACCTCTGTAAAGACCGTCTCTCCAAAAGGGTCACAGTGTAAGGTACTGGGGGTTTGGACTTCAACATATGAATCTGGGGAAGGGAGAGGGGGAGGGGACACAAATCACCACAGCACTGTGCCCCAGAAATGGCATCAGACTTCACGGAGGTCTCATTTTCATTGTCTGACACAGTGCTTCTCAAACTCCACGGTTCCTCATGTCACATGGGGACTTCACTAAAACACAGATTCTGATTTAGTCCATCTGGGCTGGGGCCTCAGATGATCTCCAACAAACTCTGAGATTATACTAATCCTGATGGTACACAGCCTTACTTTGAGGAGCAAGGATCTAATTCATGGTGGATAGGCTGTTTTAACTTCAAGGGCAGAATGGTAATGCTGGAAAAGACTTAATGAAAACATGACCTTCTGCCTCCAAAAAGGAAACAATGGTGTGGTTTCCATCTTAATTCCAGGCTTGTGCTTAGTTGGGTAGAATGTACACAACAGCACAGAGTCAATATTTGTGCTTAGCAGTCAGTCATCCTCGTGACACTGGGGATCCTTGCTGTGGTTACTACAACTGCTGTTCTTATTTTCAGCAATAACATTATAATCACACAAACAACTACAATATTTCAATGTATGCTGGAATTCATCTGTCTGTTTAAAACTGGGTTGCTAAAGTGATATGTACTATAAATAAAATATATATCAGTTTTACAGTGTGTAAATTGTGCCAAGATAGTACATTGCAGTAACAGAAAACTGTGAAAGACTCTTGTTAAGAGAAAAAAAAAAAGAAAGGAAATTATCACTATGAACAACTATACTTTAATGAAGATGTAGACCCTGAAAAACAAAGAAAATAAGCATTTTGCTATATTGATTTTTTCCTACCAATTTTATATAGACTTTATGTTTTAGAGCAATTTCAGGTTAATAGCAAAATTGAGAAGAAGGTAGAGATATGTCTTGTATACCCTCTCCCCCCACATATGCATAACCTACCTCTCCTGTTATCAACATCCCCCACCCAAGAGGTACATTTGTTAAAATCGATGAACTTACATTGACACATCATAATCACTCAAAGTTCATGGTTTACCTTAGGGTTCACTCTTAGCTCTGTAATAAATGGATAATGACATGTACCTGCCGCTATGGTATCATACAGAGTAGTTTCACTGCCCTAAAAATCTTCTGTGCTGCACCTATTTATCCCTGTCTCTCCCCAAGCCCTGCCAACCACTGATCTCTTTAACTGCCTTTATAGTTTGTCTTTTCCTGAATGTCATATAGTTGGAATCATACAATGTGTAGCCTTTTCAGAATGTCTTTTTTGTGGAAAGAGCCAGGTGATATTTGTACTGGAAGTTGGTTGGGTTACAGAAAGGAAACTTTGAGTTTA